CCCAGCCCAAACGTCAACGCGGCAAAGTCCCTCTAACTGCCTGCCCAGATCGAGCTAAACTCCCCCCTAGTCTTCAGGCGCTTGTTGCGGTGGGTATTTATGTACTAATTACTGCAAACCCGATGAAGCAACCAACAATTGGCGACTCCACTGCAGCCTCGGCTGTGCTCCTGAGTGTATAGCTCCAACTACGTTCACACCACATTAACACCGCCCCACACGAACTCCAAAAGGGAATCCGTGCTAAGCCTAACAGGGACAAAACCACTGGCAACTACAACAGCTGTACCGGACCGCTGAACTCACTGCCACAAATTTACCAACAGCACATCAACTCTGGCTCCCAAACAAACAACAGCTTCACTGAAAAGACCAAAAAACAAACACTGTGCGCTGACATCACATCACGCTACAGTCACACCCGGCTTCATTCATAAAACCGACGAGCCCCCATCTGTTACGACCCGGCTCTGAGGCTGCAACCAGAAAAGAGAGCAGAAAAGGGATCAGTGCCAAATAGTGCTTAGTTTATTAATTAAAATAAAACAAAAGAAGGCAAAAAGGTCCATTTCAGCGACCAGCTGTGTAAGAGCACCATGCCCCACGGATGGAACGCGTGTGGAGATACAGCGGCGGACATGAGGAATCTGAGGAAGGAGGGATATATTGTAGAGCACATCACCGGGCCCAGGTGCAGCTACAAGTAGTACATATACTCAGTATACTCAGTACTTATACTCAGTACTCATACTCAGTGTACTTAGTACCCATACTCAGTACTTATATAGTCAGTATACTCAATACTTATACTCAGTATACTCAGTTCTTATACGCAGTTCTTATATTCAGTACTTATAGTCAGTATAATCAGTACTTATACTCAGTATACTCAGTTCTTATACTCAGTACCTATAGTCAGTACTCATACCAGTAGGTCCTGGCGGTGTCCACCCTGCGGGTGGGGGACATTGGACAGGAGGGACAAACACCCTAACAGAATGTGTCTCTGTGCATCCAGACTGCAGGACAGGTTACCTGGAGCTGTTAGAAGAACCAAAGCTGAGTGACCATACCCACCTACACACTGATGCTCCTCCCCCTCCTCTGATTGGTCGGTTTGTCATTGCCTCTCCAGCTGTAATAAAATCCTCACTGATGAGACACTGTGAAACTGTTTGTTTTTACTTCTGTTTTACATGAAAGGAAATCTTGTCAATCAATCAATCAATCAATCAATCAATCAATTTTATTTATAAAGCCCAATATCACAAATCACAATTTGCCTCACAGGGCTTTACAGCATATGACATCCCTCTGTCCTTAGGACCCTCACAGCTGATCAGGAAAAACTCCCCCAAAAAACCCTTTAACAGGGAAAAAATGACGGCGCTTGACCATTTAGAGCTTTATAAGTTAACAGTAGGATTTTAAATTCAATTCTGGATTTTACAGGGAGCCAGTGCAGAGAAGCTAAAACAGGAGAAATATGATCTCGTTTCTTAGTTCCTGTTAGTACACGTGCTGCTGCATTCTGAATTATCTGGAGAGTTTTTAAGGACTTACTAGAGCTACATGATAATTGAGATTTACAGTAATCCAGCCTAGAGGTAACAAAAGTGTGGAGCAATTTTTCTGCATCTTTCGGGTCAGGATAGGCCTAATTTTCGCAATATTACACAGATGAAAAAATGCAGTTCGTGAGGTTTGTTTTAAATGAGAATTAAAAGAAATCTTGATCAAATGTTACTCTGGGGTTTCTTACAGTAGTGCTAGAGGCCAGAGCAATGCCATCTAGAGAAACTATGTCATCAGATAAAGAGTCTCTGAGTTGTTTGGGGCCAAGAACAATAACTTCAGTTTTGTCTGAATTTAACATCAGGAAATTGGTGCTCATCCAGGTTTTTATGTCTTTAAGGCAGTTATGGAGTTTAGTTAATTGATTACTTTCTTCTGGCTTCATAGATAAATACAACTGTGTATCATCCGCATAACAATGGAAATTTACAGAGTGATTTCTAATGATGTTTCCTAAAGGAAGCATATATAGAGTAAATAGGATTGGTCCGAGCACAGAACCTTGCGGAACTCCAAAACAAACTTTAGTATGTAAGGATGATTCATCGTGAATGTGGACAAACTGAAAATGATCAGATAAATAAGATTTAAACCAGCTTAGTGAGACCAGCTTGTCTGAGCTCCGCCTTTAGGAGGCAGATCTGAAGTCTGGCCTTGGTTTGCTGTAGTTTGGTGAGAGTCAGTTGTTCCTCTGCCAGACGAATCTGTACTTCTGCCCTTTCAGTCTCTTTTTGCAGAAGTGCCTTGTAATCATCATCTTTGTTTGATGAAGGGCACTTCAAGCCTTTCCTCTGAGATCCTGTGGCAACTACTGCTGGCTCTACCAGTGAAGATCCAGCTTCTTCCTCAGTAATAGAGCTGAGATTCAATATAAATGTGCTCTCTGGATCAGCCTCAGGAGGAACTGGCTGACTCTCCTCCTCAATCCCTGGCTCGTCATCCCCTACAACACCTTGAATACCATGTAGAGCTTGCGACTTCTCACCTCCAATGATGTCGAGGACCACATCTGTGTAATCTCCCCTCTTAAAGGGTTTGTTGCCTGTTTGTGGGTTTTTGGCTTCAGTATGGTCCTTTGTTGCCTTGGCCTTAAGATTCTTCCATCGAAATTTTATTTGGTCTGTGGTCCTCCTCTGGCCAGACCCTATGGCATTCACATTTTCGGTGATTAAAATCCAAACATCATTTTTCTTTTTGTTGGTATCTCCACCCTTAGCAGAATTAAAACGTCCCACTATTGTGTCATAATGGCACCTAACACCCTCTAGTAGTGCATTGGTTTCGGCAGCAGTGAAATTACAACTTCTTGAGTCCATGGTTCCATTGCTTTACTATAGTGATCATTGTTCATCATTTATAGGCCTTGGGTCTGATTGCCTCAATTGAACACAAGCCATAACTAATCAGTCATAATGGGTGTGTTTGAAAAGACCAATTACACAGCCATTTAAATCAGTCTTTCTCAGAGGATTCACAGAGAGTGTCACAGAGAGACAGTGAAATGGCAGGTGTTGTCCACCGCCACCACCACTTTGCTAGGAGAGGATACCGTCAAAGGGTGTATGTTGAGCGTACCAAACCACTGGAGCAATACACCACTGAGGAGCTGTATGCCTGGTTTCGCTTTGGGAAGGCTGATATTGAGTACCTTGTGAGCCTTCTCTGGCCAAAACTACAACACAGAACCCAAAGGAGTCACGGTCTGTCTGTGGAAGACCAGATCCTCATTGTTCTCCTATTTTATGCATGTGGGACTTTCTACCAAGTTGTTGGTGACTATATGGGAGTGGCGAAATCAGCTGTGTGTGATGTGGTGAAAGATGTGTCAATTGCACTGGCCAGCCTGGTCAGTGAATTTGTTTCTTTTCCAAAGGACAACCAGATTGCCTAGGCCAAGCGCAGCTTTTTTATTTTGGGGAATATGCCCAATACTATTGGAGCAATCGACTGCACACATGCGGAACCACAGAAAGCATGCAACATAACCCTTGCCTGTATTGTCCTGCACAACATCGCTACCAAGCGCAATGTCCTCGCTGACAATGATGCACCTGAGCCCCTTGGAGACCCTGACCAACATCCTGCATTCTGCCAGAACGAGCAAACAGGACGTGCAACAAGGGACGCAATAGTTAGACACTATTTCTGATTTGGATTTGTTTTGGATTTCAAAAATCAGTGATGCCATTGCCATTGCTTTGTTATTCTGTTTTATCATTGCATGCATCACTAAAAAATAATCTGAAAACGAAACAAAAATATTTTTGATTGTGATGAACATACATTAATTAGTGACAGAATTAAATATATTATTTGTGGTCAATATTGACAGCTGTTTGGGGGATTATTTTATGAGGCCAAACTCTTTCTACTTTGCTGTAGGCCTATACTGAAAGGCTGAATACGTTATAGCCTACCTAATCACTGTAGCCTGACGGATGAACAAATCAAATTAAAACCTTATGAATAAATAGGATATCTTGTAGGCTATACTGCATGATCCAAATATAGTATTATTTGATACAATTTTAAAGTTTCATTACATTTTGGGCCTGAAATCCACGCTGAATCCACCCTTCTGATGGGATCAGTTTAATCCAGATTTTTTGGATCACAGTGATCCCAATCCTACTAAAAAAATCTGAAAAACCCAAACTAAAGGTTTGATCCGGATCAAAACCAAGATTGGATTACGTGATCTAATCCTATTACGTAATCCGTTTTTTCTTTTGAAAAACCCATTTTCAAGATTTGATCCAATCCGTTATCCAAAATCCGACCGGATTACTTTTGAAAAACCGGGCCCAGAGGATCAGATCGGTATTTAATCCAGAGGATCAGTTCAGTGTTAAATCAAATTTAATGTAATGTATTGAAACATGTAATTAAATGGTATTGGAACATTTTATTAAACTTTGTTAAATGTCCCAGTCATCCTGAGGACACAGGATGTTACACAGTGGTTTGACTGGTTAAAGGAGCTCTTGCTGGGCGATGTCTCGTCCTGTCATTAATCATTGACACTAATCAGAGCTGATAGTGTTGATTGGAGCTGCTGTTAATAATTGATGAGTTTGTTGCTGTAAAAGAGAACAAAAAGACAAAAAAAAAAAAACAATAAAGATTTATTTATTTTTAAAGATATTTTTATATTTTATTTAGAATTAATTAAAGGAATCATTTATTTCATGTTTGTATTGAACTATTATGGAATTGTGTAAAGTTGTTTTATATTAACATTTTAAATGTTGGTGATTATAAGTGACGTCAATGCTGCAGAAATCATAGAAATCATAAATATTTAATCATTTAATATCTGATCAGAAATCAGATCCAGAAACAGTCTGATATATTTTCTTGTGTGTAACCAAACTGTGGAGCTGTTGTGTTGTCAGAAACAAAGTCCAGTGAAGTGACTGATATCAGAGGTCAAAGGTCAGACCAAGAACTGATTCTGCTGAAACTGCAGACAAGAAGTAAACGATCTGACAGAGGGAGAAATATTTCACAATTGAAGGAGCCAGCAAAAAAATATCTTGCGTTACACTAACAGAAGATTTAACAGACAGAGACACTGAAACTTTCACAGAATATATGAGTCTGACAAAGTGAAGCTGGAACTGGGTGAAACTGAGTCTAAGTAGCAGGAGCAAATTTTGACTGACAAGAAAAACCTCTGGAGAACATTGAGAGAACGTTTGGAGGCTGGGCCTCCTGTAGTCCTGAAGAACAAAGACTGAAGGTAAAATCTGTACTCTGACTGAAATGTTGTTGTTTGTATTGAAACATATTTATTCTTAGTAATCGTCTTTTGTTTATGATGTTGTGAATTTCCTTGTAAACATCAACACCTTAAATTTATTGCTGTTGGATGGATTCTTTGAGTCGTCTTTTACTTTGAAAAGTATCTGAAGTTTGAATTCCTTTATTCTTTCATTTTTAAATTGTCTAAAAGTGACGTATTTTATTTTAAAAAATGTACGTAATCGTGTTTTATTAAGAAAAACGTCTTTCTGAGGTATAATGTGTTTTATTTAGAAAGTGACGTATTTTATTTTAAATGATAACTTCTGGTTCTGACAGTTTAGATCAGAGTTTTGTCATACTGACAGGAAAAAAGTATAATAGTGAGTACTGTCGTTGTCTGTCACTCAAGAAGCTGCTTTAAATCCTCTCTGTTTCCACAGTCCATCGATCTATCAGTCCATCGATCCATCAGTCCATCAATCTATCAAAGGAAAATGGCTGTCAGCTCACCGAGAGACAAGTGAGTCCAAAACAACTTTAAAAATTGTCACTGTTCAGTTAATCTATTGCGAAATCAACAAACAAATCAATACTACAGAATGTTGTCAAACATGATCACAAGTTTCTGTTCACACCATTTAACATCTGTACAGTAATTTTATTTTGAAAACTTCTCCCTGCAGGTATTTTGGCGTCTGGCTGATTTTCTTCATACTCGGTTTGGGAACACTGCTGCCCTGGAACTTCTTCATGACTGCTACCATGGTGTGACATCACTTCCTGTCTGCTTTCTATCCACATTCTTTCTTCTGCTCTCACTCAGCTTTTATTTTGAAAGACAGAGAATTTAAACAGTTTTACATATCGAGTAAAAACAACTAAAATCGTAGCTGTCAAGTCTCACGCATTCGCCGTGAGAGTCACGCAATTGGTTGATTTCACACGGTCTCATGCCACACCTCCAATTTCTCACTCGAAAAAGTGCTGGTAGTTGTTCCACTCCTGTACGGTAGGTGGTGCGACCTCACATAACTAGGCAACTACGACCTACAATGACGAATGATGCCCTCCTGCTAGTAAGAAGAGGAAGAAGAAATATTTTACGTCTTGCATTTCTCACCTCCAGGTATGTTAGCATTTGTGTTGTGAGGGCATAGTGGATGGTGCTGGCACCCCACATACAGAGGTGATGCCTTGCTGCAGCGGTCACAGGTTCGATTCTGGCTTGCAACCATTTATTGCATGTCATTCCCCCTCTCTCTCGCCCCATTTCACTCTGCCCTATCCATTAAAGCAACTCTTACCTGTCTTGTATTTCACGCAGCACAGCAAAAAATTTGAACATCTACAACTCCAAAGTCCCATCCCCCTCCTCCATTCCGTCCATTATAGACGTAGGCATTAGCAAAGTAATGTTAGATACACGGAAGAGTAGAGCGAGTGTAACGTTACAACCAAGACAGTCAAACGCAACCGAGTTTTAAAACTCCGGAGTCAGTGATGACTGATAAGTTTTAGAGTAAGGTTACAGTGCTAACGTTAGATAGTAGAGTTAATGTTACTAGTAAGTGGAAACGCACAAGGAAGATAACGTTAATGTTTCAGAGGCTATGCTACAGTAGGCTAACATTAGCCATTAGCAACTGGATGCTGTGTTGTCATATACAGTACAGGCCAAAAGTTTGGACACACCTTCTCATTCAATGCGTTTTCTTTATTTTCATGACTATTTACATTGTAGATTCTCACTGAAGGCATCAAAACTATGAATGAACACATGTGGAGTTATGTACTTAACAAAAAAAGGTGAAATAACTGAAAACATGTTTTATATTCTAGTTTCTTCAAAATAGCCACCCTTTGCTCTGATTACTGCTTTGCACACTCTTGGCATTCTCTCCATGAGCTTCAAGAGGTAGTCACCTGAAATGGTTTTCCAACAGTCTTGAAGGAGTTCCCAGAGGTGTTTAGCACTTGTTGGCCCCTTTGCCTTCACTCTGCCGTCCAGCTCACCCCAAACCATCTGGATTGGGTTCAGGTCCGGTGACTGTGGAGGCCAGGTCATCTGCTGCAGCACTCCATCACTCTCCTTCTTGGTCAAATAGCCCTTACACAGCCTGGAGGTGTGTTTGGGGTCATTGTTCTGTTGAAAAATAAATGATCGTCCAACTAAACGCAAACCGGATGGGATGGCATGTCGCTGCAGGATGCTGTGGTAGCCATGCTGGTTCAGTGTGCCTTCAATTTTGAATAAATCCCCAACAGTGTCACCAGCAAAACACCCCCACACCATAACACCTCCTCCTCCATGCTTCACAGTGGGAACCAGGCATGTGGAATCCATCCGTTCACCTTTTCTGCGTCTCACAAAGACACGGCGGTTGGAACCAAAGATCTCAAATTTGGACTCATCAGACCAAAGCACAGATTTCCACTGGTCTAATGTCCATTCCTTGTGTTTCTTGGCCCAAACAAATCTCTTCTGCTTGTTGCCTCTCCTTAGCAGTGGTTTCCTAGCAGCTATTTGACCATGAAGGCCTGATTCGCGCAGTCTCCTCTTAACAGTTGTTCTAGAGATGGGTCTGCTGCTAGAACTCTGTGTGGCATTCATCTGGTCTCTGATCTGAGCTGCTGTTAACTTGCCATTTCTGAGGCTGGTGACTCGGATGAACTTATCCTCAGAAGCAGAGGTGACTCTTGGTCTTCCTTTCCTGGGTCGGTCCTCATGTGTGCCAGTTTCGTTGTAGCGCTTGATGGTTTTTGCGACTCCACTTGGGGACACATTTAAAGTTTTTGCAATTTTCCAGACTGACTGACCTTCATTTCTTAAAGTAATGATGGCCACTGGTTTTTCTTTAGTTAGCTGATTGGCTCTTGCCATAATATGAATTTTAACAGTTGTCCAATAGGGCTGTCGGCTGTGTATTAACCTGACTTCTGCACAACACAACTGATGGTCCCAACCCCATTGATAAAGCAAGAAATTCCACTAATTAACCCTGATAAGGCACACCTGTGAAGTGGAAACCATTTCAGGTGACTACCTCTTGAAGCTCATGGAGAGAATGCCAAGAGTGTGCAAAGCAGTAATCAGAGCAAAGGGTGGCTATTTTGAAGAAACTAGAATATAAAACATGTTTTCAGTTATTTCACCTTTTTTTGTTAAGTACATAACTCCACATGTGTTCATTCATAGTTTTGATGCCTTCAGTGAGAATCTACAATGTAAATAGTCATGAAAATAAAGAAAACCCATTGAATGAGAAGGTGTGTCCAAACTTTTGGCCTGTACTGTATAACGTTATGAACTGAACTGAACTGAACTGAACTTCTTTATTTGTCATTTTTATGGCAACATAAAAAAAAATGACATTTCGCATACCCCAAGCAAAAAGAAACAAAACATTTAAAAACAAATGTGTGCAACAAAAAAAAAGAACATAAAGTGCAAGAGTTAGATGAAAAGGGTCGACATTTCACAGTCAAAAACTCCACATCTTGAGAGCAGAACTGGGAGATCCTCTTCATATCACAGCACCATGAATTGTTTGTGTATACACCACGGAGCTTACCAGATGATGCAGTCTCCCTGTCTGCTCTGTGTAGTGTTAGCCCCATTAGCTCATAGCTCAACACCGGAGTCTGATATGTTACCATTCATCCATGTCTCAGTGAACACAAGGACACAGCAGTCCCTCACTGCTCGCTGAGTGGATCTCCACAGTCAGATGTAATTCATTTTCATGTCCAGCTAGCGGACGTTCGCCAGAAGGACGCTGGGAATAGCTGGTTTGATGGGGTTAGCGCTTACCCTAGAGCTAACCCTTCCGCTCTTCCCCTGCTCCCTCGTACTGTCACAGCGCTACTGGCGTCTCCCTGTCGGGACAGCTCCAGGCGAAACCACGGTCATCTCAGGGCGAGCTCCATGTAGCAGGCCAAGCTTGCTACACATCCTGAGCTCTCTTGGTTGAAGCGTTAGATCTCTGCAGCGGTGTCTAATGTCTGTTAGAAACTTGCGACTGTATTGCACTGAAGAATTTACTTGTTGCACCGTGTTTACTTTGCCGGTGTACACAGAAGCTGCCGCAAGCAGTGGTCATGTCACCATGTTGATTCAAACTTAGAGGCAAACTAAAAATACCTGTCCAGCAGACACTCTGCGAACATTGTGTCCCTTTTTAGCTCAAGGTGAAGCTGCATCAGTCGTCGCCATCGCTTGAAAGCAGAGCCAATGTTGACCCGAGTTTTGGCTCTTGCAACATCAACTTCTCTCTTAGTGTTAGTTTTTTCAGCAAAATTCTTTCTTTTGCCAACTGATTTCCCTGTTGGAGCGGCTGGAGATGGAAGCGGTGGTCCACATTTCTCTGCCATTGTTATGTAGAAAAGTTTATATCCACAAGCCTCCCAGTTACCAGTTTATATCCACAAGCCTCCCTGTTACTAGTTTATATCCACAAGCCTCCCAGTTACCAGTTTATATCCACAAGCCTCCCTGTTACTAGTTTATATCCACAAGTGTCCCTGTTACTAGTTTATATCCACAAGCCTCCCCGTTTCTAGTTTATATCCACAAGTGTCCCCTGTTACTAGTTTATATCCACAAGTGTCCCTGTTACTAGTTTATATCCACAAGCCTCCCCGTTGCTAGTTTATATCCACAAGTGTCCCCTGTTACAAGTTTATATCCACAAGTGTCCCTGTTATTAGTTTATATCCACAAG